ACTCCATATCTTTCATGAGCTATTTTTTGGTAAAAGACTTCTCTGTGAATATAAATTCTTAAATTTATTCAGAGGTTAGCCAATTATAGCAAAAAGGGGGTAGTCAACTTTTACAAATTCAATGGGGGTGTTTTTATCTTTCTAAAATAACACAATAGGTATCAAGCTTCAGCCAAAAAAGCTCACAAAACTATTTGCAAACTTTATTCATTAGCATAAAAATCAAGGTTTTCAGGCTTCACAGGTGAAAGAGGAACATCAGTTGTGGTCTGTAGTATTTTTTTCAACTCAGTCTGCGTGCTTGTTTCTTTGCTCTTGGGATTGTCTGCGCTCTCTCCTGTGTGTTATGGTTTGATGCTCTTCACTAGAGCCCACTTTGGACTTGTACCTGTAGCAACACAAGCAAACCCTTTGCCCCAAGTTATTAGTCAAAAAGGACTTTCAATTTGTCCTATCTCAGAGTTTCTAATTAAAACAGGGGGATTTTCTTCCAAATTTGCCATTTTCAGAAAAATGCTGAAAAATATTGGTGGATCAGGTTCTGCAAAAGAGCTATTCAAAAAATTAAAAACATATAAAGCTTTGCTCAACCTCATCTGTGGTGTTGCCTCTGCTCCCCCCATCTGTTGATCATTAATGCATTAGGGTGTGATGTGTCCTTTCAACAATGGCTTGACTTGTGGGGGAGTAAGAAATACCAAAAGTGTGGTGAACACCTCAGTTCATCAAAACTGTGGCCGATTTTTGGGTTGTATATGCAGGACCATTTTTTTACCTCTTGGGGAATACCTAGTGAAGCAAACGTTTGCAAAAAAATGTTGATAGACATGATTGGCTGTTTCTCCTTTGTGGACAGAGACAAAGACTGTGCCTGAGAAACTGTCCACTGACACATGGATATTTTAAAATTTCTTAATGGAAGGGTATTTAGTCATATTTGTTTGCCATAATTGCAGGCTTTGCAAACCTTGTGGGTTAACAGCTCCTGTAGAGACAGGAGGTGGCACAAGCTGACAATCAAGGCAAGTATTAATTATGACTTTCACTTGACATTTAGAGATGCAGAACATTCGCACAAGTGTTTGTGTATTTTGGTGAAAAAAAAGCATGACTCAATTTTGCTGGTCCAAAAATGTTTGGCAAGGTGTTTGAAACAACCATTGTTAGTTTACCTGCTCTTGCATTTCCTTCTGCCAGAAATCCTGGAAGCAAAGAATGAGCTGTAATATGGGAAACAAAATAAGGGTTAGTTCTGTATGCAAAGCTGTATAAAGACTTGAAAGCCAATATACGATATAGGGTGTCATTGCTAATTTTTTTTTAAGGTTGAGCCTTCTACTCTGCTAGTTACATTGGCAACATAAGCAGAATCTGTAATTAAATTGAAAGGCTCAGAAAAGAGCTGAAAAGCTCTGACCACTGTGGCTAATTCAGTAATGTGAGGGGAACCTTCCACTGTTTGAATATCTGATTCCTATATTTTCATTCTTTGGTTTAACCATACTATTACTGATTTGTGGGTTTTGACAGATTTATCAGTGATGAGAGTTATAGCATTCAAAGGCTCTTCACTTAACATAGGTTTTTCTCTAAAGCTCAATTTTGCTTGCAACCATTTGTGACTTCAGTAATGAATAGAACAAATGCCTGAAAAATTTAACAATGCATTTTGTAAATCATCTGAATTTTGAAATGCCCAATCAAGGTAATCTTTTTTCACAGGTAGATTGCAAAGTCTTGGCCTGATAAAGTTAACAATCTTGTTCTAGCTTTGATTACAATTTGTGCTATCATTTCTATAGTTATATAGAAGAAATTTCCATGGACTTGTAAGGAAGAAAAACCCATTCCATTATTAACAAAGGATCCTTTTCAAAAGAATCCCATTGAAAGATAAGTCTGTATAGTTGTATTTTTTTTTTCCTAAAACTGCAAGAAAGAAAGGCTTTTCTGGAGAGCAACGATGTGCTTCTCTTCTGGAAAGCTTCTGTGACATTTTCAAGAGCTGCCTGCACTTTGGGTGTTAAATTCTTAGGAGCTTTGATGTCACAAGTCTCCTCTCAGCAAGTCAAAGAGTGGGGCAAGTTCATTATTGGTAATTCCCAAGACAGGTCTAGCCCAGTTAATTTCTCCTAAAATTGTTGTAGATCTGGCAAGGCATGGATGCTGGTCTGAACTGTATCTTCTGCGGCTTGATTGTCTCTTTTTTGTCATCATCCATCCCAGATACTTCCAGAGTGGGATTTCTTATATTTTTGATACAGAAATTTCCAGTCCAGCCTTCTTGACTTCAGCAACAACACTATCACGAGTTTGTTCCATCTCTGCTTGTGTTGGGGCTGCAATGAGCAAATCATCCATGTAGTGTAGAATTATTGATTGTGGATGCTTTTGTCGAGCTAAAGTTTGTGCAATAAAATATTGGCAAATAGTTGGGGAGTTCTTCATCCCTTGGGGTAAAAATTTCCGGTATCTTTTCAGTGGTTCTCCTCTGTTGATAGCTGGAACTGAAAAGGCAAACCTCAGGGCATCCTTTGGATGGAGTGGAATGTTGAGAAAACTGTCTTGTAATTGATGATGACAAGGGGCCAATCTCTTGGAATCACTGAACAGAGGGAAGTCCAGGTTGCAGGGATACCATGCCCTCAATCACTTTATTGATCTTTCTCAGGTCAGGCCTATCTCTACACAGCTCATAGCCCTGTTGTTTCCTGTCCTTGCACTTCCTCACCTTCTGCACATTCTGCCACGGTGGAATCAGCAGTGATTGCATGGAGAGTCTGTGAGCAAGTCCTCATGAATACTTAGCGTGAAACAGGAAAATGCTATTAGCGCAAATCTCCAGTTTCATAGAATCACAGAATCATAATTGGCTTAGGCTGGAAGGGACCCTAAAGTCCTGCTGGGTTCCAAAACCCCATTACTCACCCTCTGCCACAGGCAGGGACACCTTCTACTATCCCAGGTTGCCCCAAGCCCTGGCCTTGGGCACTTCCAGGGATCCAGGAGCAGCCACAGCTGCTCTGGGCACCCTGTGCCAGGGCCTCCCCATCCTCACAGGGAAGAATTCCTTCCTAATATCTATTCTAAACCTCTCCTCTCTTACTTTCAAAACTTTCCTCTCTTTTCATATGACTATCTGCCTACGTAAAGTCTCTCTCCCTCTTTTTTATAAGACTCCTTAATGTACTGAAGGCCACAAGGAGGTCTCCTTGAAGCCTTCTTTTCTCCAGCAGTTGCTCTCCTCAGGCTGCTCCACAGGGTGTGCAGTGGAGGTGGCAGGGCCACTGACACTGTGTCTTGTCCTTTTGATAATCACACACTCCCAAGCACCTCTGGTTCCCTATCTGGGCAGAGAGCCCAGTGTAGATGAGGCCCTGTGCACTGAGCAGTGGCTGCTTCTGTCAGCCCAGGGTCTTTTCTTCCAGCATTGATGACCCGAACATTTCCAGGTGTTCTTTGGCCCATCCCACCTGCTCTTTGTTATGTCCCAGTGGGGAGCACATGAAACTGGCTGACCCACCTGGTTGGATTTTAACCCCTCTGCTGTGATTTGCACCTAACAGGTAGGCCAGGCAGTTTCAACAGGTTTAAAGCACCCAGATTTCAAGGAGATGGGCCAGGCAGTTTCAGCAGGTTTAAAGCACCCAGGCTTCAGTGAGATCTCATTGCTGGTGTGCAGTGGAGGGAGCCCAGAGCTGGGCCCTCGATGGCTCCAGGCTGCCATCCCCTGGCACTGGGTGCCTGGAGCAGAGGGCCTGCTCAGCTGCTGCCCCGGGAGCTCCCTGTGACTGACACGAGCCTGGTGGGCCTGAAGCTGGGAATAAAGCCTGCCCTGATATCAACAGCCTAAATGGTGAGGCAAAAGGCACAGTCACAGCCCAGCTGATGTCTTTGTGCTCTACACCAGCACCCACCCTGGGGCATCACCACAGCTGTCTGCACTTTCTTCACATCACCCATGCCTGGGACAGTGGGCTACTGCCTCATTGCACCTGTTCAGGGTCTCTTCACCTGTGGGGGAGCAGACAGGCAGTTTCCTTGCAATCCGTGCTGGTGCTTACCCCTCATCTTGACTGCCACAAAGCTGCCAGGGTGCTCACCTTCCTGCCCACTCTCAAGCATTGCCTTGGGCCTCCAGCCTGAAGCTGATCTCTCTGATGGGACATTTTTGTACCAGTTCATATACCTCCATGTATACATCCCAAGATTTTAGGCCCACCAACAGGGTTCAAAACTTTATGGCTGTCAGCTGAGATGGGGAAGGCATTTTATACACATTTCCAATAAATCGTGCATCTTCTTACAGAAGTGCAGTTTGCCCTTTTCCTTCTATACAAGGTTATCTTAGAAAACTTATCTTCCTAAGTCCCTGGGTGAAATTGTTCTCCTTGACTTTGTTTCTTCTTATTTTTCTTTCTGCTACCACTCCTGAGAAATGGGCTGATACTTCACACAATTACACAGAACACATAGGAGAAATCCCTCCTGGGGGGGATTGTCAGCCCAGCGTCCATCTCTTCACAAATGTCACTGCCTTTTGTTTCTCTAGCTGTACAGTTCTGTGATTTAACAGTATGGAATCTGATCTACTATTTAATGGCACCATTTTCTGTGTCAAGGAAGCCTTCTAATGTACATTTCTAAGGTATCATTCCTTGTCCTTAGTGCCTGAAATAACATAATTTCATTGCAAATATGTTCTTCCTATCCAACACCACTCTGACTTAATCTAACAGTAGCTTGACCAACACAGGCAACAGCACAAATAAGATTCTCTTTCACTCTTTGTCTTTAAGGATTACTTATGTGAGAAACTTTCTTCTAGCATTGGCTAAAATGTTATAGAAGGGATAATCATCTGGTAATTAGATAAGAAAAAGCTATACCACCACAAAACTACAAAGAGGTTTTATAAGGCAAAACTGTGTCCGATGATTAACGGTGGTATAGACTTCACCTGTAAAAAACAAAAACAAATGAAAACATTGCACATGATGTGAATGCAAATAAATCTACTCTTTATTACCTATGTATTAAGATGGTTGCAAATCTCAAATCTAGAACAGAGTGACAGAGAGGTTCACATTTTGTGGAGCCCCTCAGGTCACTTTGTTGCCTTTTGACATTCTCACTCTTCCTCTTCTATCTTCTTGCCATGAATGTCCCTGCTCTTGGCTCGGAGCTTGTTGACCTGTGACTCTGCAATGTCAGCCCGCTCCTCGGCTTCCTCCAGCTCGTGCTGGATCTTGCGGAACTTGGACAGGTTGACATTGGACAGCTCCTCCTGTGAGGGGAAAGGGAGTCAGGGGTCAGCACAGGACAGGGGTTTCACTTCTGCTGCAAGTCAGCCCAATGGGGCTGCACATCTCCATCCCCCTTCCACCACTGCTCAAACATCAGCCTCACACAGATCTCCTCATCCTTCCCTTTTCAGGAACCTACTGTGACAACATCCACCAGGACTGTGTCACACGTGAGGAGGAATTTCACCCTTTGGATTTATCATTTCTGTACCTAATCTCACAATACTTCCTGCCCAATTTTCAGTGTGACTTATTGGGTTGACAAGACCCTGAAGCATTCTGCTGCTGATTATTAGCAGAGATTCAGGATCTTGTCAGGCAGTGGGTGTGGCCCCTGGGCTTGTTTATTCTGGCCTCCTGTGGGAAACAGGCTGCAGAACTTGCCTTAAAGAACCTCCCTGACTACAGGGTGCCCAGAGCTCACCAGGGCCTCATGACACGAGAGCAAAACAGCGTGGCCAACTCGGTTGTGTCTCAGGAGTTTCTTTCATACCCCTCTCCTGGTATTCGGTCTCATTCAATGTGTGTGCTGCCCCAATGGAATGTGGCCTTTGCCCATTGTCCAAGCAATACTTACAGCCTCCTCAGCTTGTCTCTTGTAGGATTTCACTTTCATTTGCAGCTTGTCCACCAGATCCTGCAGCCTGAGGATATTCTTCCTGTCTTCCTCAGACTAGAGTGGTTGGTAAACAGGATAGAGAGTCAATTCTTGATCCTCCATCACACAAGGACAACAATTCCCCTTGGGGATGGTGTGTGTAAAATGTGACTGACTGTGAGCAAGCCCTGTCAGAGCAGGAGCCCTCCTGCCTTACCTGGTAGGTCAGTTCCTTCACCCTGCGCTCGTACTTGCGCACGCCCTTCACGGCTTCAGCGCTGCGCTTCTGCTCAGCATCAACCTCCCCTTCCAGCTCCCGCACCTGCAAGGACAAGCCCATCCCTGCAGCTTCCCTGGCAATGTCTCTCCAAGGACACGCTCACTCACACACACACCCAGCCCTACAAACCCTGGCCTCCAGCTTCTGAAGTTGTTTCTTCCCTCCCTTCAGTGCCAGCTGCTCGGCCTCATCCAGACGGTGCTGCAGGTCCTTCACTGTCTGGTCCAGGTTCTTCTTCATCCTCTCCAGGTGGGCACTGGTGTCCTGCTCCTTCTTCAGCTCTTCTGCCATCATGGCCGCCTGATCAGAGCAAAGGGTCAAAGCCATTTTAGGGCTGGAGATATTTTGGGCAGAGTACGTTGCCCATCAGCAATGCCAGGAGCACCCAACTCACATCTGTGATGGCCTTCTTGGCCTTCTCCTCAGCATTGCGGGCTTCCTGGATGGTATCCTCCATTTCACTCTGGATCTGGGCAATGTCTGTTTCCAGCTTCTTCTTGGTGTTGATCAGGCTGGTGTTCTGTGTAACAGGAAAGACAGGATTCCTACTTTCAAACCAAATGCCTGAATATAGGCCTGATGTTGGGAAGGATGAATTAGGGAAATTTTATAAATACGAGTGCCTAGCAAAAGACTTTGAGAATATGGAAAATATAAGCGAAATAGAAATGATAGTAATTTTCAGCTGTGTAGCTGAAAACAACTGAATGCCTGAAGCCTCTTTTTTTTAAATAATGTTAGATGTTGCGAATACCAAAACACAAACAGACATCCTCCTTAGGCATAGCAGGAAGGGTCCCAGATAAAATTTAGAGATAAGAAAAGTAGGAAAACATGGTAATATAGTGATTCCTATATGTTGCATGCAAATGTTAGAGAATTTGTATCTTGTATTAGATTTGTTTGTGAAAATTAGAATATTCAACATAGAAGAAGATTTATTGTATTGTAAACGGGAAAATCGCTCTCTTCTCTCTTACTCTCTTACGCTCTTATTCTTGCTCTCTTGCTCTCTTATGCTCTCTTTTCTTACTCTCACTCTATCCCTCCCTCTCCATCATGCTCTGAGCTGTGGCTGCAGTTCCTAGCAAGGCCTCATATATACCCACACCCTGCGAAATAAACTGCAAACTTCAAGACCAGAATACAGAAAGCAGCTGAGTTTGTCCCAACCATCCCTACGCAATAATTCCTACACCTGAAAATGTGGTAGTGTTTAGCAAAGCCTTTAGTGCAAGAGACTTCTTTAGCACCAGAGCAATAAGCCAGATATTGAGGGCTGGCTGGAGGGAACATATTGCAGCACACTTCTTCAAATGTTTACCCAGTAATCACTTACAAGGTGAATAACTATTTAATTCTGTGGTATCACTTATGAATGGGAATAATTTCCAGTAGTGCCTGACCTGGGTGTGGAGGAGCTGTGCACGTTCAGTGGCATCCAGAAGCTCCTGCTCAGCCAGTTTCCTTGACCTCTCTGTCTGCTCCAGGGCTGCCCGGAGCTCCTCAACTTCAGCCTGCAGCAGGTTTGCTCTGCGTTCCACCATGGCCACCTGCTCCTTCAGGTCATCCTGTGTCCTGAGAGCATCGTCCAAGTGCAGCTGAGTGTCCTGGAAAGAGAGACAAGAGAAATTGCCAGGTGTCAGTTCTGTGGCAAAATGTCTGGGAACTCATTTGTCTTTCTGTAGCTCTGCTGAACGGACCTTGAGCACAGCCTGTGTATTTCTCAGGTTCTTCTGTGCTTCTGCAGCCTGGCGGTTGGCATGGCTCAGCTGGATCTCCATTTCATTCAGGTCTCCCTCCATCTTCTTCTTCAGCCTCAGGGCTTCATTCCTGCTCCTGATCTCAGCATCCAGAGTGCTCTGCATGGACTCCACAATTCTGAGGTGGTTTCTCTTCAGTTGGTCAATCTCCTCATCCTTCTCTGCTATCTTCCTGTCGATCTCAGACTTCACTTGGTTGAGCTCAAGCTGCAGGCGCAGGATCTTCCCCTCTTCATGTTCCAGGGAGGCCTGGACAATTCAGCATGAAGAGTGTTTACTTTCTAAGTAATCTTTTAAGCAGTTCCACATGAAAGATAGGCTTGCTCTCTTGCTGTCTCTCCAAAGAACTACACCCATACTTCTAAATGGGGACATAATTTATTGGAATTCTATGTACCTCAGCTTCCTCCAGGGAGGCTTGCAGTTCAGATTTCTCCTGCTCAACCTGCTTCTTGACTTTCTCCAGCTCGTGAATTGCCTTTCCTTGCTCAGCAATCTGCTCTGTGAGGTCAGAAATCTCCTCTGCAAGGAAGGGTGAAAAGCAGCATGGTCAGGCACAGAGCTGAATGGAGAAAGGCTCTGGTGCATCAGGGGTCCAGGCATGTTCTTATCCCTGCAGGCCCAGGGCCGTTAGGTGTGGCAGACAGACAAGCCTGTGAGGAAGGGCAGCGAGGAGCAGAGGCGCAGGGACTTACGCTGCAAGTTCTTGTTCTCCCGCTTCATTGTCTCCAGGTGGTCCAAGGACTCCTCATAGGCATTCTTCATCTTGAACAGCTCCGTGCTGAGAGAGCGCGACTCCTTCTGGGAGGCCTCCAGCTCAGCCTGCGTTTCCTCATACTTCTGCTTCCATTCTGCCAGGATCTGCAGAGAAACGGGCTGTGAGTAGGGCTGTGGCCATCACAGGGGCGTGCTCTGGCCACGAGTGCTGGTGCTGGAGGCCAAATGACCTTGTCAAAATTCTTCTGCTTCTTATCCAGAGCAGCACAGGCAGCATTGGATCTCTCCACATCAATCATCAGGTCCTCCACTTCATTCTGCAGCCTCTGCTTTGTCTTTTCCAGGGAGGCACATTTGGCATTGACAGCCTCAACATGTTCCTCTGCATCCTGCAAACGTTGAGCCAGCTTCTTCCTGGGAGGAGAGACGTGGAGAGCCACGTTAGAGCTTGGAAGGGCATCAGTTCTCTACTGTCATGAGAGGGCAATTTGTCATTATGGGGGTTTTGAGGCAAGCACTTTTCACAGACAACAAAGGATCTATCAGCTGTGGAGGATTAAGCTCGTCATAGCACTTCTAAAGGCTGTCTTCTAATCTATACTTTTTCGCTCCGTTCTACTCTCCCCTATTTTTACAAGGACAGTGTATTGTTGCCTCTATCCCATTCTCCCATTCTTGTCTTAACCCACTCTCTTAGAGATTAGGGGCTCCAATTTCCCTTGACCAGTTTCAGTCTTCTCCTATCATTGGCCATTCTGCATCCCACGTACTTGGCCTCCTCGAGCTCCTCCGTGCGCTGAATCGCGTCTGTCTCGTATTTGGTTCTCCACTGGGCCACTTCACTGTTGGCCTTGGACATGGCTC